CAACGCGATATTTAAAGCGCCATTATAATCGCTACGCGTATTTTATTTTCAAATTACAAAAACGAATATTAAGACAAAATCTCGTAATCGCAACTCATAACCTAAAACCTAAAATCACAACTCAGTCCCATCTCCATCTCTCACTCTCTACGGCGAAGAAATCCGTCCCCATCTGCGAAGATTTCCATCCCCATCTCCGGCGAAATCCCTCACAACCATTCACGGTCAGAAATTCCTCACAATATTCAGAAATGGAAAATCAACCTCCGAGGGTTAGTTTTTTTAATTATTTTTATTTTGAAATGTTTGCATTATTGTAGGTTTTTCATATTGAAACTGATGATAAGTTTACTGGTCATCTCAATAATAGATTAACCATTTCACTTAGATTTCATTTCGCGTTACGATTCTCTCGTTGCGATTTTCATTTCGCGTTGCTATTCTCTCGTTGCGATTTTCAAGTTAGTATTTGTCTTTGTCTTTGTTCTGTCTTTTGGTTGAAGTAATGCAATCCATTCAAGTTTCAATTTGCAGAAGAGTCGCAACGAGATAAATGAAAATCGCAACGAGAGAATGACTGTCGCAACGCGAAATGACAATCGCAACGAGAGAATCGCAACGCGAAATGAAAATCGCAACGAGAGAATCGCAACGCGAAACCAAAATCGCATTGCGATTTTTATTTCGCGTTGCGATTCTCTCGTTGCGATTTTCATTTCGCGTTGCGATTCTCTCGTTGCGATTGTCATTTCGCGTTGCGATTCTCTCGTTGCGATTTTCATTTCAACCAAAAGACAAAACAGTGTTGCAAATTTTAGTTTCAAGAATAAACTACTACTTTTTATGTTTATTGTTTTTGGTATATCTTCACAGTGTAGTTTTTGGTATATCTAACTTGGTATGTTTATTGTTTTTGTAGAAATTTTTTTCGGCTCAATTGACCTTGAGAAATAAAGTCAGCCTGGCCACTACAATTTCTTCGAAGCTTTCACCTGCTCAAAGACAATTGTTTGAGGAAACCTGCTTCGGGCCATGGCTGAGAGTACAGCATCCGGGTGGAGATGCTAATTTGACCCATTTGTGGCTTCAGACCATGACATCAAATCTACCCGACAGTATACAACGTGGTGAGGAAGAGATATGGTTTCATTTTCCACCAGCGTATACTTGCTTTGGGCGGAAGGAGTTCTGCTTAATCACTGGTCTACGATTCGGACACGATGATGTAGGCCGGTACACTCGTCATATCGCCCGCCCATCATGGTTATCCCGGGTTTTTCCGGTTGGGATTTTCATAGCGTATACAACGTGCATTGCGATTTTCATGTTGGGATTTTCATTTCGCGTTGCGATTGTAATTTCCGTGTTGCGATAGTCAAATGCATGCCTAATAGTGATAACAACTGAATAACAAGAGTTGGTTAAGTCAAAATGGTTGGCCTGAGTCATTAATTCAACTGAAAATGTTAAAAGTTCACACATAAAATCCACATAATACAACGTTTGCATTTAAAAATCACCTAAGTTAACAGTCTCAAAAGGTGAAGCCAATTGTGATTGGGATTTTAAAGATGATTGCCTTTTGCTTGACACCATATGAGCTTTGGATTTTGATGAGGATCCATATTTTGGTAGAGGAAAAGATGATTTTGATGGCACTGGTGATCCACATGTCAACCTTGTATGACCACTTTCCTTGCACCGACTACATGTCGATCTCTTCTTCTCTTCACCCTTAGACGGTATACGATCGTGACTTTTTGGTCGGCCAGGTAGCCTTCTGTCCATGGCTGGTGGCAAAACTGTTTGTAAGTCATCTGGTATGTCCCACTCAGAAGGATGTGGAATAGGGTAGACAATCTCGGCATAAGTCTGTCGATAAACTTCTGTAGTGTAGCAATCCATAGCGTATGCGCTTGAATCATCTTGGTTTAAATGAAGAGCAACTTTTATAACATGGCCACACGGATAACCAGATGTTTGCCATTTCATACAACTACACGTCTTTGCATTTAGATCGACTAGCCCATTTAAGTTATTATCCAGTACTTGAAACAAAGTGTTTGAACATGGTTCAACTCTCCATGACGTTGACTTCACAACACGTTTCGTTATCTTTTTTTCAGTCCATGGTGTAACACGATGTTCCAATGTTCCTGTAAATTTAAATAAACAATACTTAGTAAAATATATAAATATGATAAGTTACGAATTCAAAGAAATAATACCTGCATGGTTTCTTTTCTTGTAGTACCACTGTTGAATAGAGGCTCGAAAAAACTCCATTAACATAGTAATGGGTAATTTCCGGGAATGACGACTTAGAGCGTTGATTGATTCTGCACTATTAGACGTCATGAAACCATATCTTGCTCCAAGTTGATGTACTCTTGACCATCTTTCAAACCCGACATCTTCTAGTGTTTGAGCACACTGAGGCAAAACACGTCTTAAACAATTTATATGCTTATTGAAATCCACTTCCCGATAAGCTTTTACAGCCTTCCAGTATGTCCATTTGTGCTTTTTTATACCAGCAGACCTTGATTTTAGATTTCTATACAAATGAACACCACAAAGTCCATGAAAAGCATCTGGGAAACACCTTCTAACAGCGTTGTCAATTGAGTTTGCCCTATCGGATATGATTGTCAGATTGCTAATAGGACCTATGCAATCCCTAAGATGCCCCATAAACCATGTCCATGAATCAGAGGTTTCAGATTTGCCAACCCCGTAAGCTATTGGCAATATCCCATTGTTAGCATCCATGGCTACTGCTAATAAGTTTACTCCAAGGTATCGACCTTTCAAATGTGCTCCGTCAACTATAATAACTGGGCGCATGCAAGTAATAAACGAACGAATCTACAAAATAATACACAAGAAATATAATCATTTAAATGTGAAATGCATGTAACTAACAAAAATGAGTCAACAAAATTATATTGATTTACTAACCGTAGCACCAATGGCGATAAACAGCAACTCAAAGCGTCCATCTCTATCTGTTTTGATATGAGTTACCGACCCAGGATTTTTCAGCTTTAAATTGTGACAATAAGCCGGCAGTTGGGCAAACGATGCTTCTGGCGACCCCCTCAACAATTCCAAGGCATAACATTTGGCTCTCCAAGCTTGAGAATATGATATACTAATCTTGAACCGAGCATTCATGTCAGTCATAATTTCATGTCCCCGATATACCCTGCCATTCAAAAACATTAACTCAGCCAGAAAACCACCCAACACCTTTTTGTTTGCCTGTCTATGGTGAGGAAAAACTTGGGTTCTTGAACATGTATGTTTATCAATAAAAGTCCTAACTTGAAACATTTGCAATCTTTATTCTCTTTGCAATCATACGCCACGTACAGTTTTTGTCAATCATACACCTTGTTTCGAAACGATCTTTGCTTGATTTGTTAACTTTTAGTTGATAGCCATCTTCCACACATTTCGTATATAAAGCTATCTTCAAGTCTTCCTTTGTATCAAAACAATCATCTTTCTTGATACGAATAACTTTTGTGTAACAATCAACTGCTTTCTTTATCAACTCTTCTTCCGGTATCTGAAGTAATTCTGGCATATTCCAGTTATACGCCCGTGGCATTTTCTTTTCTTCGGGGACTTTTTCTTCTTTTTTCTTCTTCAGGATTATATGAATTACAGAATGGATGTTCAACATGTTCATTCACAGTCGTAACTTCCTCCTCATTATCATCAACATTACATTCTTCGGCAACGGCTGTTTCATCATCAAAATTCGGGTATTGACCAATATCAATATCATTACAGCATGGTCTGTTTCTTCTTCTGAAACATCATCAAAATCCGTGTATTGACCAATATCAAAGTCCGGATATTGACCAAGACCAAATTTCGAATACTGACTAGTACTCACAATTTTTTCTGTTGGCTCATCATCGTCTAACTGGTCAATACGAAAACCGGAATTTGGTGCTGAAAGTTGATTGGGATTTGGATTAGAGAAAGGTTGTGGGTTTTGAGAAAAACTTAGTTGATTACTACCCGCTACTGACCCAACAATACTACTTCTAGGTTCAACAACATACAATGTAACATCATCTTGTGAAACCCTAATGTAAGCAATGAATCGTTCAACATCTTCATTGTCGGTTAACAAATAAACTTTACCATTTCTCTGATAAGATAGCCTAAATCCACTTAGGGGCTCTAAATTCAATTTATTTGAAACACGTAGCATTAGAGTTTCATAAGTTAACTTTTGTAAAGACAATTTAGTTGAAGATTCATGGGTAAAGGCATATATTGTAAAACACCATGAACATTATCCCATGACCCTCCAAAACACAAATCTATCCAAACATGATCAACATTAGATGATTTCATGGTTGTAAATTAATTTACTAAACAGACGAGCTGCGAAACTAAAACCTGTTGCCGGATTGGGAAGGATGTCGTTGGATATAGGAACGGATGTCGCCGGAGAGAGTGATAGATGGAGATGGAATGAGTTGCGATTTAGGGATTTAGTTTATGATTTCAGTGTTATATACCCAAAATTTCAGTATTGTGATTTACAGATTCTCGTTGCGATTTACGGATTATCGTTGCGATTTACAGATTCTCGTTGCGATTTACGGATTATCGTTGCGATTTACGGATACGCGTTGCGATATACGGAAACGCGTTGCGATTTACGGATACACGTTGCGATTTACGGATACGCATTGCGATTTATGTGTTCGCGTTGCGATTTTCATATTCGCGTTGCGATTTTGGAAAATCGCAATGCGAATTTGACTATCGCATTGCGATTTTCAAGAATCGCGTTGCGATTTTGGACACTGATTTGCGATTCTGGGGATCGCGTTGCGATTTTTATTTCGCGTTGCGATTTTATTGGTCATTTTAGCAAATCCAAAAAAAATTGGTTAAAATCATATATTATAACTTTTTTTTGTCACTGAGGCGATTTTCTCTTATTTATATTCACCATCCCACTATTTTCTGCTACCACATCCACCCCGCCTAAAACGATTAAAAATCACTTTTTTATTTTGAGGGGGAATAATATGGATCGTAGAAGCGCGTTTGCGGTTGCTTTGATCTGCATTGTAGTGGCTGGTGTCGGTGGTCAGTCTCCGACCGCCGCTCCCACTAAAGCACCACCACCAGCGACTACGCCTTCTGCTGCTGCACCCGCTACGGCTCCTGTTAGTAAATCTAAGTCACCGGCTCCAACCGCGGCTCCAACTGCTTCTCCACCAACTTCTTCACCACCAATTGCTGCACCCCCGAAGCCTACAGCGGTTCCAGCTCCCTCAAAATCTACTCCGGCTTCTTCCCCTCGAGCTGTTGCTCCTGCGAGTTCTCCTCCAGCCAAATCGCCTCCCGCTGCTGTACCGACAACCCCTCCAGAGAGCTCAGCCTCTCCTCCGAATTCTGTTGCAGCTCCAACTGCTGCCGATGTTCCTGCACCGGCTCCAAGCAAGAGCAAGAAGAAGCCAAAGAAACACGGTGCTCCCGCTCCTTCACCTGATTTGCTCGGACCTCCGGCTCCACCAACCGGTGCCCCAGGACCTAGCCTCGATGCGTCCTCTCCCGGCCCTTCTGTCGCCGCAGATGAGGTACATTCTGATCTCCTTTCTCGCACTCAAATCATATTTTTAATTAAAATGAACAATAAAAATCAATGCTCTTCCAGATCTGAACAATTAGAGTAGTTAGACGGCGGAAGTAACCAATCTTGACTTTATACATACGTAGATTTCTGAAAATGCAATTTAGAATGATTGTAGATTTCAAAATGAGAATCGATTTCGTTGAAGCGCGTTTGAGTGACGCGCCGTTTAGGAAGGGGTAGATAGTTCAGCTAGTTTTTGAGATAAACACCAACAGATCTCGAGGCGAGCTACAGTAATACTCGAAAGAATTACTCTATATATTTTTTTGTTTGGACAAAAAATGTTTATACGATTATAATTGATAATATATATAGTCATAATTTAAAAAAAAATTATAATAATTTAATGCATTATAGAAATATTTTTAAAAACCAATTGTTTATGATTACCCGTCATCAAATTGAATATCGATTTCTGGTTACCGTAGTTGCAAGTTTACAGCCAACCATGCATTTATTTATTTGTTACTGCATGGTAATAAGTTTCATTGAACTGAATATCGTTGAATTTTAAAAAAAAATGCAGAGTGGAGCGGAGAGAATAAAGAGCTTGCAGAAGATAATTGGAGGATTGGCATTAGGATGGGCAGCTATTGGGTTGATCTTCTAGAGAAGCGATAGCTGGATTCAGTTTTATTTATTATAATTTTTTTAAAAAAATCACTGTGTAATACATTTGATATTATGGTATATTTATTTTACTCCATTTTGTTTCCTTATAAATACTTGCCTTAGTGGTGTGGTCTTTAATTTATATATTACCTTGAGATTTCATATTACAACGGTTTCCCTTGTAATTCTTGGGGGATACCAAGTTTGAGGTGGGGCACTATTTTTTCCTACTTTTTTATTTTCTGGTTTACTTGGTTTCACTTCCCATTCATCAACTTTTGTGGATTGCATTTGGTTTAATACTACTTTATATATATAAAGTGGAATTATTATAGCTAAATTATTAAAATAATACCCTTTCAATTTTATTTTACTAAAATGACATTAAAAAAATTATTTTTCATGATGACAAACTTATTTCGATCACGTAAGATGAAGGTGTTGTCATGTGGTAGCATCTTATCGAAAGCGCTCTCGACTTTAGCTTACATGACCAAGATGGATGAAGACTCTTTCACGTTACCACGCCTCTAATCATACATGGAGAAAAACAAATTTTATTAAATGTGTATTTGTAAATTTTTTTTTAAAAAAAATATAGGAACGAAAGTAATATTTTGGTTCCATGACTCAAATGTGCTTTGATCCTTATAGTTTTAAAATACAATTTTATTTCATAAATTGAAATTATTATTTTCATCCATATAATATTTTTCTTTGATTTTAGAATGGTACATTTAATAAAATGTGATTTTCATAATGTAGGAGTGGAAGGCAGGGTGATGTGGTAGTGCCTTGCTCCACTTTGGTCTTGTCCTATGTGATCTAAATGTCAAGAAATCATTTTTTCTAAAGGTATCATTTTGATGAAAAGATTAAAAGAGTAGCTTATTTTAGTTTTAGCATATTATTAGATTTTCTAAATTTCAGTGACAGAGTCCAATCCAAGTCTTAACCAATGGAAGGTTGGTAGACAATGCATGCATATTTATGTGCCGTGCCGTGCCGTGCGTGGGGTTAAGTAACCGAGTATTGCATACCCTGTCGGTGTCACTTTAAACAAGTCCCTTAAAATGACATCCACGCGTCATTGGTTAAGAAAAAAAAGGGTAAACTACAGTAATAGCTACTAGAATTCAAGTAAGTTTTTCTTTTTACCATTGAAGCTTTAAAATTTATAAAACAATCTCCAACTTTATTGTTTTATCGTCCGCTAACGCACGTTAACTATGTGATGGAAGTATGATGTGGCGCCCTTTAGCCAACCTCTTTCACCCTTCTAAGTTCAAAAAAACCGAATGCATAAATAAAAAGGTAGGGTTGAAGATCCACGAGACGGGGGAGGTTCTTGATCCGCCCATGCAAATGTGGAAGAATCCATCGACACACTCCTGCAAAATATATTGGATAAAAGCAAAATAGTCCGATGTGAAAGCAAAATTACTGATATGAGTGTCGAAACCGTCTTTCGGTTGGCCCCAGAATTGGGCTTCGACTTAGATTAAATGTGATTAGAGTCGCCACCGACCATTTTAAAACGAATTTAGGTGGGTCGGACATCATCTTAACTGATCTGCGTTGTACCAGAAATGTGTCGGGTTCGGGAGTCGGTTACAGTCAAGGAAGGATTAGCACACTTGAACTGCCCTTTCGGTACCAATTAATTTATCGGTTGTCTTAGTTGTGAAAAGTTAAAAAAAATTAAATATAAATTTAAACTACCCGATTTGAATTATTTACCTCCAATGGGTTGGAATTACTACTAAAAAATATATTAGATAAAATAAAAGTAAATATGTAAAAAAGAAAAAATAAGAAAATAGATAAAAAAAATAAATGAAATTTAGTAAATATATATATATATATATATATATATATAAAACAAAACAAATTAATAAATAATTAAATTAATCAAGAAATATGGAGGACTAAATGATAATTAAACTAAATGTAAAATAGTGACTAAAAAGAAAAAGGGATAAATCATAAGGTAAAATTCGAAAATCAACCCAAAATACCCAACACACAAAAATAGTGACTAAAACGAAACTATTACGGAATTAAGAGATCGAAATAAGAAAAAATAAAATTGCATCAGTGACCATGATGGAAATTTACAAAGTTCAGAGGGCCTTGATAAGATTTTACTCATAATACTTGAAGGACCAATAGGAGAGTTTACCCCAAAGTTTACTTTCACGTGGGATGAGTTGGTTTCCTGCTAAAGCAATAATAACAAATTTTTTTAATTCATTTGCAATTCAGAAGCTTTCCCTGTTCCCTTTCTTATACGTTCAGCTCTCCATTGTTGTCAGTCACGACCGTCGGTCGACCAGTTACCATCGTGATTGGTTGCCGATGGACACCAAATCCAACGGGTGACTCGTATCGGTCCTTTGGGTTCAAATCCAGGATTTATCCTTCAAAAAAAAAAGATTTCATTTCCAACGAAAAGTCAAAAACCGCTGGACTTCTCTTGCTCCGATCTGTCTCCTTCCACCTTTGGATCATCAAAATTTTCAGGTATGTCGTTTTTTGGTTTGTCCTCTACCTTCTCATTCTGTTTTGCATGTTTCGTCGGTGGTTACTGCTTTCATCAAATTTTATTCGAGCTACCAAGATGTATGTAAAAAACATGAAACAAAAGGGAAGCTTTTAACTAAAAGAAAATCTTTTATTGATTTTGATGATTGAGTTACAATGGCTGTGGATTTCTCTCCCCCTCGAATGTTATTTACAAGCTTATTTATATCCAGAATGATGCTATTTTTAGGAGTTTATATCCTAATAAAACTCTTGTTTTGTTTGTGTTCCACTCATGCACGTTTGTTGGTGGTGAGCGAAACGGCCGGCGGATGATTCGGGGTTGGAGAGGCGTAGCTGGCCGAAGGGTCTTCAAAACGGCGCTGAAATGGGAAAAGAATGCTAGGGTTTCAAACCCTAGCTGGACCGGTTCGGGTTTGGACCCCCCACTGGATCCGGTTCGGGTGCCAAACGGGTCACGTGAATTGCTGGGTCACCCACTGTTTGGGTCTTGGCTGGGCCATATGCAAATGTTTGTATAATGGACCTGCAAGTGTAAAATAAACATATGAATGTAAATAAAATTATGCTATATAATATAATTAAAATTATATAATATAATTTGTGGTACTCATAAAAAAAAGATGAAAATTAGGTGTCTACAGCTGCTCCTCTTTGTCCTTTTTCGTGGAACGAAAAATAGGACAAAGACAAAAGGACACAAATTTTCGTCAGGCGGAGTTGAAAACTTGACTCTGATAAATTAAGAATAACTCCCTGTCGGATTGTGTTGCGGATAGCTCCTTCGTCGCGAAGTCGAGTCCATCTTGAAGGAATTGAAGTCGTAGTTCGAGATTTGAACTGGAACGTGGCTTCTCATTGCCAAATTGTAGTAACTTTAGTCTTCTTCTCGGTTTAAAGACCTTGGTTAAAATTCGACTGAAAAGTAGTTTCTTGACTCCAATATGCAGTTGATAGACCTTTGAGCTAAATGAAATGGAACTTGAAAGGTCTTCATCGACAGATGGCTTTTCTCGACTTAAGCTATGCTGCCGGAAAACAGCTTCTTTGTCACTAAGGCACGGTTAACCCAGGTCTTCTTCTCGACTTGAAAACCTCGATTGCAGTCGGACAGTAGTGTGATTGAGGTGTCATCGAGCTGACTGAAAAACTCGAACTCTTGACAGATATCTTCTTGACAGATAGCCCTTCTTGCCTGGGGCTATGCTGTAAATGATGTGCCTAAGAGATGAGCGTAGTCGAACTTGAAGATCTTTGTTGGCAGATAACCCTCCTAGCCTGGCGTTATGCCGCAAATGATGTGCCTTGGAGCTGAACGTAGTCGAACTCGAAGGTCTTTTGGTGACAGATAACCCTTCTAGCCTTAAGTTATGCTGTAAATGATGTGCCTTGGAGCTGAGCGTAGTCGAACTCGAAGGTCTTTAGTTGGCAGATAACCCTTCTTGACTTAAGTTATGCTGCAAATGACGTGCCCTTGAAGCTGAGTGTAATCGAACTCGGGGGTCTTTGGCAGACAATCCTTCTCGATTTAAGCTATGCTGCAAATGATATGCCGTTGAGCTGAGCGTAGTCGAACTCAAATGTCTTTTTTTTTTGGCAAATAGCCCTTCTTGCCTTGAGCTATGCAGCCAAATAAAAGTTAAAAAAAATGGTTTCCCTTCACGGGTCTAAGATGGTCATGATTCTTCAGGTGGTTCCTTTGAGCGAGTCTGAACCTAGTAAGACGATCTTCGGATGACTCCCTTTTACGGAAAAGCCCACTGATAAATTCTGACAGCCGGATATCATCCGTCGTGAAGTTGAAAGTTGTTTATTGACAACCGGCGGTCCCTTCGTCGTGAAGTTGAACTTAATTGACTTGAAAGTTGAAATTGTTTATTGACAACCAGCGGTCCCTTCATCGTGAAGTTGAACTTGCGTTGTCTGGAGTCCAATTTCCTTCGTTGTGAAGTTGAAATTGGCTCTGAAATTGAGAAGTTGTTTGTTGACAACCAGCGGTCCCTTTGTCGTGAAGTTGAACTTGTGTTGTCTGGAGTCCAATATCCTTCGTTGTGAAGTTGAAATTGGCTCTAAAATTGGGAAGTTGTTTATTGACAACCAGCGGTCCCTTCGTCGTGAAGTTGAACTTGCGTTGTCTTGAGTCCATTATCCTTCGCTGTGAAGTTGAAATTGGCTTTGAAATTGGGAAATTGTTTATTGACAACCAGCGGTCCCTTCGTCGTGAAGTTGAACTTGCGTTGTCTGGAGTCCAATATCCTTCATTGTGAAGTTGAAATTGGCTCTGAAATTGAGAAGTTGTTTGTTAACAACCAGCGGTCCCTTCGTCGTGAAGTTGAACTTGCGTTGTCTGGAGTCCAATATCCTTCGATGTGAAGTTGAAATTGGCTCTAAAATTGGGAAGTTGTTTATTGACAACCAGCGGTCCATTCGTCGTGAAGTTGAACTTGCGTTGTCTGGAGTCCAATATCCTTCGCCGTGAAGTTGAAATTGGCTCTGAAATTGGGAAGTTGTTTGTTGACAACCAGCGGTCCCTTCGTCGTGAAGTTGAAC